AATCTGTTTCTCTGTTCAGAAGGACCTTGTAGTAGATAATATGTTGAAAGCACTCAATGTAGGACCATCGAGTGCTTTCAGTTTAACTTTTAAACAATTTTATTAAGTTGTTTATGAGATTGTAAAGCATTATGGCAAAACAGGCATTTATAGGTTGATCTGAACCAAACATAGGATAGTAAACAGATTGCCTTTTAAATGAACTTAAATCTGTTAAAAAGATGGACACTTACTGAACGTTTGATATACACTTTGCACATGGCTTTGCATTATTCCATGTACTTCTCAAAATGACATTACTACTATCCCTATCTTATGGATAAGGAAAGAAAGAATTAGAGAACTGATTAACTTTCCCACAGGTTGTACTAGGGCCAGAATCCAAATCCATGTGACTTTTAACGCCACTATAAAACTGAATCTCAACCATATTTTCCTATAGAACCTGGGTCAGAAAACCAGGTTGGACTCCTGATTCTACCACATAGTAATTGGATAGCCTTGGGGAATTCACTCAGCTTCTGTGAATCTTAGTTTTCTAATCTATACAGCTAAAAGAGTCACACCTTCTCTACTTACCTCATAGGATTTTGTGAAACGCATAGAGATTATGTGGGAAAGTTCTCTGCAAGTGTGAAATATTAGCACGATTGCTTAGAGTAGCGAACTCCATGGAGAAATCTCTCAGACCTCTGCAGGAGATCATGAAGAGTAACTGGGGCCTTGGGATACCCACTCCTCTTTTTCTGCCTTGTGTTTTGAAGCAGTTGCGATACCTACACAAGTCTAATGGATGAACACAAGCTGTCATCTGGATTGGGAGATGGTGTAAGTGTGACCACAGTAGGCTTCCTAACACTTCATAACTGAATAAGGAGACAGACCTACTGAGCTGTCATTGACAGATCTGGACACTTTGTGTCTTTCTCACAGGGCAGCCTCTTCCTGCTCGGTGATGGAGGAGAAAGCTGTCCAAGGACCGGCTACCCCAAAGAGCAGAGTGTGGATGGCCCTGAGCCACAGCTGGGCAGGTCGTCCTTACTGAGTCAACAATCACATCGCTCAGTCTGGACAAAGTCAGTGGGTGGGCGTGGAGACAGAAGGGGCAAGAGTCCCTCCCCATCTTTACCTCCTGGGTGTCTTTATGGTAATACGGAAATCCGAGGTTTGGGAAAAGAAAGTTTCCCTCTTAACAATGAAGAATCACATCCTTATTAGTAATAGGAAAACAAGGATCAGAGGGTATCTTTCCTCAACTCTTTCTGCCTCCCACGTGGCTAAGCTGATGGGAGCCATCTGTGGTGGCTGCATATGATTTTTGTCAACTTTATAATTCTACACCCACTCCCTAACTCCCCACCATGTGGCCTTCAAATTGTTCCTTTAAAAAATAAAATGTGTTCCTTCTCCTATGAAATACAGACCATTGTTCACTCTCTGATGTAACTCCCGGACATCATTTGGGCCTCCTGCTTTTTCTGTGGGGTCCCCTTCAGGTCCAAGCTTGTGCCAGCCTCCTTTGGGCAGCAGAAGCCCATTACAAGAGCTGATGGGGGTTTTGTGATTCAGTGTCATGGATCCCTGGTCCCGTCAATAGTGCTCAATAAAGCCACCGGGCCAAGCGGTCCCTTCTGCATACTGGTGGCTGGATCAGATTTCTCAGTACAGAAGTAATTTTCAGGCATTCAGTTTTAGAATGTTAGTCTTGGTTCTTAAGTGGTTAAAATCCCCAGCTGGTCTCTTATCCGGGTCCAGAGGAATCTTAGTTATGGCTGAGATGCCGCTATGATATTTTTGCCCTTAATATACACAAATCTTTTTCCAGTTTCTTAGCTCCCTGAGTCAGTTATATCTGATCAACTGTCTCTTTCAAGTCTCCAAGAGTGATATATACGTATTCTACCAGGTTTAGAGGACAAGAGAACTTCTAAATGTCTCTTTCCTGGCTCCCTTTTCTTTCTTACTGCCTCCCTACCAGTGAGACCCTTCTCTTCACCTTCACCACTACCAATGGCCACTAAGGAGGTCTTCTAGGGCCACCCTAGTTCCTGTCCATCCAGAGATCTGTTGTTCAACACTTTCTCCAGTTCTATGACCTGCCCTTCCACCATATCCCTATTTTGGCTTAAGTTAGCCAGAGTCTTCTTGCAACCAAAAGACTAATAAAACACCAGTCTGTAATGATCTATGTTGCTGCTGAATTTATGCAGCTTTTCTTGTCGAGTGTATGTCTGTGTGCATGTCTTTTCTCCCTAGATAGAACGTGGTCTTCTCAAGGATGTTGGGTCATGTTCCATCCACCCAGAGATGTTGCCTGTCCCCTGGCAGTGCCTTTGATAAACAAAGTGTACAACAGACATTGATTTGCTTGTTCCATTTTCTCCTTCCTTATCTCTAGCTACTCCCCACTCACATCAAACATCTCCGCAGAGTACCAGAGAAATAATTAGCTTCACCTGAAGCTCTGGTTCCATCCCTGCAGCAGCTAAAGGAGAACCCAGAGAGGAAAATGTAGTCCTGCCCTCAGTTTTCCGAGGCCCCCTGGCAAGTAGCTGAGCTTTCCTCCTGAGAAATCTGTATGCAGGCGAGAAGCAACAGTTAGAACTAGACGTGGAACAACAGACTGGTTCCAGATCAGGAAAGGAGTACATCAAGGCTGTATATTGTCACCATGCTTATTTAACTTGTATACAGAGTACATTGTGTGAGATGCCAGACTGTATGAAGCACAAGCTGGAATCAAGGATGCCAGGAGAAATATCAATAACCTCAGATATGCAGATGACACCACCCTTATGGCAGAAAGTGAAGAAGAACTAAAGAGCCTCTTGATGAAAGTGAAAGAGGAGAGTGAAAAAGTTGGCTTAAAGCTCAACATTCAGAAAACTAAGATCATGGCATCTGGTCCCATCACCTCATGGGAAATAGATGGGGAGACAGTGGAAACAGTGTCAGACTTTATTTTTTGGGGCTCCAAAATCACTGCAGATGGTGACTGCAGCCATGAAATTAAAAGACGCTTGCTCCTTGGAAGAAAAGCTATGACAAACCTAGACAGCATAATAGAAAGCAGAGACATTACTTTACCAACAAAGGTCTGTCTAGTCAAAGCTATGGTTTTTCCAGTAGTTATGTATGTATGTGAGAGTTGGACAATAAAGAAAGCTGAGTGCCGAAGAATTGATGCTTTTGAACTGTGGTGTTGGAGAAGACTCTTAAGAATCCCTTAGACTGAAAGGAGATCCAAACAGTCCATCCTAAAGGAAATCAGTCCTGAATATTCATTGGAAGGACTGATGCTGAAGCTGAAACTCTAATATTTTGGCCACCTGATGTGAAGAACTGATTCATTCAAAAAGACCCTGATGCTGGGAAAGACTGAGGGCAGGAGGAGAATGGGATGACAGAGGATGAGATGGCTGGATGGCATCACTGACTCAATGGATATGAGTTTGAGCAAGCTCTGGGAGTTGGTGACGGACAGGAAGCCTGGCATGCTGCAGTCCATGGGGTCACAAAGAGTCAGACACAACTGAGCGACTGAACCGAACTGAACTGAACTGTGGGGGCTATTTTTGATCATCTTCTCTTCAGTTCACACTGTGGACCCACTCTGGACTCTCTGCAGGGAGTAAATTGCTAGAGTTTAGGAGCCAGATGTAGGCAAAATTATTATTTTAATCACAGCAATATAAATATTGAGTACTCTGGTGTGTGTTTATGGTAAGCCCATGTTTCTTGGTATGAGAGATAAAGAAAAAGTGATAACTAGACTATCATGTATATTATTCAGAACTCTCTGCTTGCAAGTGACAGATACTCAGTTCAAACCAACCCAAGTCATAAAGGAAAATATATTGGCTCACATAACCTTATCACAGAGAGGCCAGAGTGGATCAGGCCTCAGGGACAAAAGACTGGGATACTAGGATTAATCCAGGGTGGATTGCCCACCTGCTCCAGAGTGGGTAGCGTGATAGTGGAGGCTTCTTAGAGGAAGGGGTGTATGCTAGGGTGGGGTTGAGCAGACAAGGGTAAGGGCCACCATACCATTTTTAAAATGGTGCTTTTGGTGTCTTCTTAAATTGTGCAAATACTTCCAACAAAGTAGCACACAGGGAAAAGAACACGGGGACTATACTTGTGGTTGCTATTCTTGTGTCTTGAGCCTTGTGATGGCCTTGAACAGCTCAATCACTGCCTTGCTTGAGGCTATGCCTGTGTACATGCTAAGTCGCTTCAGTCATGTCCAGCTCTTTGTGACCCTATGGACTGTAGCCCACCAGGCTTCTCTGTCCATGGGATTCTCCAGGCAGGAATCCTGGAGTGGGTTGACGTGTTGCCTGTAAAAAGCTTCTACAAAGTGGTTCCCACCCTGGGTTCCTCATATGGTTCTGCCCTTTCCCTGTAGCTTTATACTACTGAGCTCCCTCATTTCCTGACCCCTGGGGCTGATGACTTGTTGGCATGAACTGCCTAACGTTGCTTTTGTTTTAATCCTGGGGGGCGGTCTTCAGATTACCTTAAACCAAATGAACTGTAGCAAACGGGGCTAGTCTCCCCCCACTCCAACTGGGCCATGCTCCCACTTGGGGAGCATGCTTAGGTCTAGCTTAAGTCAAGCATTCCTGGATACGGAAAAACCTAGTTCACAGTAGACATTCTAAAATCTGATTGTTCTTCATATGTAGTAAAAGTTATTCACACTTTGAAACTAAAACATGACCCCACTAAAAGCAACACCAGCCATACTGCCCCTGAAGTGTTTTTCACTCAGTCGTGTCCAACTCTTTGTGACCCCATGAACTGTAGCCTGCCAGACTCCTCTGTTCATGGAATTCCCCAGGCAAGAATACTGGAGTGGGTAGCCATTCCCTTCTTCAGAGGATCTTTCCAACCTAGAGACTGAACCCAGGGCTCCTGCATTGCAGGTCCGATTCTTTACCATCTGCCTCTGAACTGTAGGGAGGGCTAAATGTGGAATGTTCTGGAGAGCAGTATTTTGGGCACATAGTGTATTCTCCAAAAGGTTTGCTTAGGGCACAGCACTGGAAATTAACACTCCTATGTCTGTCATATCCATGGGGTTGGTCTCATGCAACACAGCTTCAGAAGTGAAACCAATCTCTTCTGTTTGGCCAGCCTTCCTCCCTTCAGAAGTCAACTGTGGTATCTGCTGACTCTCCACAGGAAAAGCAGTGCCTGGATCCTCAAAACCATCACTTGGAGTAGTAAGTAATCCTGACAGTCCCAGAAAGCATTCAGTGTTCGAGCTGCAAGACCTGTGATAGATTATGGGAGTGAAATGAGAAAGTTGAGCTCTTCAGATCAACCTTGTTTTTACAAGTTCCCTCATTTTATTGCATAGTTATTCTGAATCCACTGATAATTTGTACAATTTTCTTGTAAGTCATTCATGCACAATTCTATCTCATGCAGCACTTGGCTTTGCTAATACATATGTATTAATGAGAGCTGTGTTTCTCAAGTGTAAATGTTTTATATGTGTTATGGCTCTTGGCTGACATGCAAAGGCTATTGAGTACTATGATACCAAGATCTTTTCTCTACACATGTCAAGAATTCATGGGATTGCTGAGATAGACTGATTTATCCACTTCTGTGCTCACATGTAACAAAGGCATCATCAGCTCAGGAAACAAAAATAAAATCCATACAGTTAAATGAGCAGACTGACTTTCCCTAATACAAAAATAAGACAAAAGAAACTGTATGAAAGACAGTATTTCTTTAATCAGGTTGTTGAGAGTCTCTCTCTCTCTCTCTCTCTCTGTATATATATATATATATATATATATATATTTATGATGAGAACTATCTTGATTCCAGTGGTCAGTGATAGCCTCTCTGACCTGTTGTATTTACATAGAATGGTGGCTTTGCCATAAAATCTCATCTAGCGTGAGCACTGAAATAAGTGCCCTGGCTTGCTTTTAAAAGCACTCTGGATTATATTTTAATCTTTCAGTGAATGAAAGAGAATAAACAAATCCCTCTGTGAGAATACCCCTTCCATCCTTGGGGAAGTCATTCTGCCAGAGTTCTATCTATTAATAGTGTTACCTTTTCTAATTCATTATCTGTTTTCCCAGGCCCTGATCCTGCTCATTTTTCTCTCATTTGGGATCAACTTAAATACATGGAATTAAGTGTTCAACTTCTTTTTATTTTTTCATTATTTGAGTTTCAGGTATATGGCAATACAGTTCAAAATCTGTAAACAAAAGTTTAGCTTGCCTTCCAGGATATACTCAGCCTTATGGCAAAGATCTAGGGAAGGAACTTAGATTTCTGCAGACTCTCTATGATTTCTTCCGTCACTCAGATTCATTCAATTGCTTATTCTGTCCCCAAGTTCTGGAAGACAGGCAAGAAGAAAATTCTCCTACTCCATTTTCTGTACTGGAAAATGTGTTTGTGGCAAAACTGACTTTACAAAGGTAAATTAATGCTGGATGACATTAAGGACCTTCTATAGGTTATTTCTTTAAGCACACACACACATGTACACAATATTTCTGCAAAATAATGGTGATGGCAATTTACAGACTGAACCAGCTGTTTCCCAAGAATGTTTTATCCAGTATCCTCCATAGACAGTGAAGGCAAAAGACTTAGGTTGGAAAAGTACATTAGTTTTTGATTAAAGACTGGAAGAAGGCCAGTTAAATTTTTAAATCTGAATGAGCTTGCTGACTCAGGCTCCTTAGCAGCATAATGGACAGACAGTCCTCAAAGCTTTCATTAAAAAGGTTTCTGGTAACTGATGTCTAGAGAAATGAGTTGAAATACAATTCAGTGAACTACTCAGCTTTCATCTAAAACAGAATATATAATCTCAGAGAAGCCAACTAGTCTCTTGAAATTTTTAAGTGAAATTAAATTTAAAGAAGCTAGAGCTGAAATATTTTGAAGAAAGGAAGGCTCCAGTAGCTTCGTGACTATATAATTTTTTTCCTTTTGCATCCTGTATTTAATTGCTTATTGCATTTTGTGTACAGCTGGAGTCACTGATCTGCTGATAACAAAGTCTGGAATCATTGGTGGGAGGTTCTCAGGATGTTTCTGATTTGATTTGAATTTTATTTTTAATTTTGAGCTCTCTCTGAACGATGCTTTCTATTTTTTGTCTTTTTAATCCTCAGTAGTAGAAACAAACCATCTTTGCAGAAATATCCTGGGAGCTTGGCTACAAAAAAAACCAACTGGAGCTACCCTGACCTTGGAGATGGTTTCATAAATCAGGACAAATAACTCTCATGGGCTTCCCTGGAAGCTCAGTCAGTAAAGAATCTGCCTGCAGTGCAGGAGACCCAGATTCGATCCCTGGGTCATGAAGATCCCCTGGAGAAGGAAATGGCAACAAACTCCAGTATCCTTGCCTGGAAAATCCCAGGGACAGAGGAGCCTGGTGGGCAGGAGTCTGTGGGGTCTCAAAGAGTCAGGCACATCTGAGCAACTAACACACATAGGCTGTAACGCGAGGTCTGTCAGCTCTCCTCTGCAATGAATGACCCTAGAGGAAAAGGTCTCCCTTCCATTTCTCACCACAGAATGTAAATGATATTAATAGCCTCCTTTCCTATGGTATCTTTTTAAATTTATGAGATTATGGCAGCTTTTCTGGAAAGTGGCTACCACAGTGGCTACTTTAGAAAACAGCATAATTCTTTGCAGTCCACTCCGAATTGAAGGCTCCTTGAATAACTCACCTTCCCAATTAGGTTGTGAGCTCCTTAAGGCAGCCCCCCATCTCTTATTCCTCCCTGATCTCCTCAGCCACTTCCGTGCCACAGGATTCCAGCCATCTGTCACCAAGCCATCTTAATCCTTTCTCTGAAATTCCTCTTTGAATATCTGCCAGTTTCCAAAGACCACTGTTGTCTCTTGAAATCAGCCTTACCAGCCGTATTTGTACCATGTGACACATTCGGAGGCAATAACTGATTGGAACACTGATGGACAATGGCCACTAACTGAACCAGTCAAATTCTCTCTCTTGGATTTTGAATTGAGATTCAGAAACAGCCATTTAGTCTCTGCATGAGGGTAGAACTGAAACATAAACTCAGAGCTGGAGGCACAGAAGATGCTAAGAAGTGGAGAGAGATGGCGAAGAAGTTAGCCTGCATAGAGAGTGAAGTAGCAAAGAGAAGCAGATATGACTTCAGAGAAGCCTGATACCTTTCTGGTTAGATTTTAGCCAGTTCAGAGGCCCAGATGCATTTGCTTCTGGGAACATCATGATCTGCTTGTATAAATCTTTAATACATCCCTTTCCACTCCCTTTGCCTGTTAGTTTAAGTTCATTTGCTCTTGAAACCAACAGTTCTAACTGATATAACAATATCTGTCATGCAGAAAGTAGAATGGTGGTAACTAGAGGCAGTGAGGAGGGGAAAATGGGAAGTTGATGGGTATAGTTTCAATTTTTGCAAGTTGATAAAGTTGGAGATGGGTCGCACAACAATGGGAAAGTATTTAAGACTACTGAACTGTATGCATGAAAATGATTAGGAAGGTAAATTTTATGTTACGTATTTTTTTAACAATTAAAAAAAAACAGTTAAAAAATATGTTATAGTCAGCTTCCTTGTCTTCCTCACTACTCCAGTCTTATTCAGGTTCTGTTGCCCCAGGTATGGACAATTGTCATTACCAAATTAGTCTCCCCTCCTCTCCCCCTTGAAGCCGATCCCCAGCAATCTACCCTATTTGCATGGAGCAATTTATCCTCAACCTGCACTCAAATTGTGCCTTTCTCCCAATATACAGGCGTTCATGGCTACTCACTGAATTCAGGATCAAGTTCCACTCCCCAATATGGTAAACAGGACCTAGGGGGCCTTTCTGAGCTTCTGACCTACTGATTCCCAATAGTACTTAAGCAATTTCCCCACCTTGAATATCCTCCTCTGCTGATCACATCTTCTCTCTCATTCAAAGCCCATTTCCAGGCCCACCTCTTCCATGAAACATTTTCTGACCACTCTATTTCTCCAAGGACATTTGTTAGTAGAATCACACTGCTTAGTACTTAAATGCACAGTTTCTTATGTATCCAAACTGTTCATTTGCTAGTTTGCAAAGTGTTTGATGATAGGGACTGAGTCTTATATTGCTTGATTTTTCCTAAATTACCTACAGAGGACAAGATGGTTGGATGGCATCACTGACGCAGTGGACATGAGTTTGAGCAAGCTCTGGGAGATGGTGAGGGACACGGAAGTCTGGTGTGCTGCAGTCCGTGGGGTCTCAAAGAGTCGGACATGACTGAGTGACTGAACAACAACCTAGCAGATACCATACTCTTAATAATGCTTGTTGAATAGAATCAGAAGCAACGAAGGACTGCTTTACCAGCTTGCCTCTTCAGGACAAACACCTGTAGAGAGGTAGTAGAACCGTTTATTGAACACTCAGTATTTGCCAGATTTCATGCCAAGTGTCTTACATGGATTATGTGAAGTGTTTAGTTGTTCAGTTGTGTCCAACTCTTTGTGACCCCATAGACTGTAGCCTGCCAGGCTCCTCTGTCCATGGAATTCTCCAGGCAAGAATACCGGCATGAGTAGCCATTTCCTTCTCCAGGGGATCTTCCTGACTAAGGGATCAAACCTGGATCTCCTGCACTACAGGCAGATTCTTTACTGTCTGAGTCGCCAGGGAAACCCTACATGGATTATAGATCTCATTTAATCATTCCAACAACCCTATCCAATAGAAATGACAATTATCCTCCTTTCACAAATGAGGAAATGCAGGCACATGCAGGTAAAAAACTTGTCCACGATCATATCAGTAGGAGGCAGAATGATGATTCTGAACTAAATCTAGTTGGCTCAGAATTTCTTAAACTTATGTTCTTTATACTCTATCACCACACACTTCATACTCTATTGTTATTGCTAGCTTTCTTGCCTGATTTTCCTAGGAATTATAACTTCCTCAGGAGGAGGAATCTTGTCTTAATATGTGGTAGAGACTCACTAGAAACCTATTAAAGAATGGAAAGATAAATTGCCTGTCTCATGTAGGAAGGGAGAGAGAGAAGCAACTAGGGGAGAAGAAACTTTGGGGCAGAGCTTGTCCTGTTACTAAACTTGGCAAGATTCAGTCTTGCAAGGGGCTTGGCTAGAAAACCCTGGCTCATCTTTCTGAACCACATTCCCAATGTCATTGATCCCTTTCCTCTGGGGAGTTTTCAATCATGTGTTCACTGTGTGGGTGATAGTTGATAATAAATATTCTCTTGCCCTGGTCTCTTTGGCCAGGGTTCCTTGGCTTCCAGCCTGCACCCTGCTTGCTTTAAACAGATAGTACACGGCCTTCCTTTCTGCTGGCAAATGCTGAAATTTGGCCTCTCTTAGCCACCAAGTCTCCAAATCAAAAGAAAAAGATGGGATTCCCTGCTTAGGTCTGCCTACCCTGTACCTCTGACCAGTTATCCATGGGAGCTGTAGAATATGGGTGGTGACATAGTTTTAAGGATGAGTAAGCAGTAGCTACAGGCTTCCCAGGTGGTAAAGAACCTGCTTGCCAATGCAGGAGATGTAAGAGATGTGGGTTTGATCCCTGGGTCAAGAAGATCCCCTGGAGGAAGGCATGGCAACTCTGCAGTATTCTTGCCTGGAGAATCAAATGGACAGAGGAGCCTGGCGGGCTACAGTCCATGGGGCCACAAAGAGTTGGACAAGACTGAAGTATGCAGGCACACAAGGAGTAGCTACAATCCCTGAAATTACACTGTTGGAAATTATTCCTCTCTCCCCTCCCACCTCCTTACATCCCTAATAGAGATAGTAAGGTCGTGATAAGTTTTAAATGTTTGAATACATATATGTGCCTCGCACAGTACCTCCACTCAATAAATAGTGATTACTATTGTTGGTGCAGGTGTTACTATAACCAATTTGTGTGAGAGTTGGTCGCTCAGTGGTGTCCGAGTTTTTGCAACACCATGGACTACAGAGCTTGCCAGGTTCCTCTCCATGGAATTCTCCAGGAAAGCATGCTGGAGTGGGTAGACATTCCCTTCACCAAGAGATCTTCCTGACCCAGGGATCAAACCTGGGTCTCTTGCATTGCAGGTGGATTCCTTACCATGTGAGCCACCCAGAAAGCCCACTATTTTCAATTGCCCTGTAGTGTCATAACCTGGGAAAAGCAGCACATTAAGCCAGGATTAGCCATGAGCTACCTAGCGGGGATGAATTTCCTAGCCTTTTCATGCCATGCATGGTTCATCAAGATGAGAAACAGACAGAAAAGACTTACTATAAATCTGGAGTCTGGAAATGAGGAATGTTGGGTATTTCAGGTGCAGTGTGAGGAGACAGGAGAGACGCAGTCAGGGGGAGTGAGAACCCTTTGGCTAATTCAGGCTAGTTCAAGTCAAAGAAAGCTTATCAGAAGGGTAACTGTGGGGAAGCAGATATCTCCTCCCACTTCCAATTCTCTTGAATTCCACAAGGCTTTATATTCTCTCTTTCTGTAAACAGGCTTTTATCCATGATGGTGGCAACAACCAACAATATATCTTTCCAGATCTGTGACCAAAAGCACAAGACTGTTTTCCTCCTGGCTTCAGATTTTCAAGAGAATCCCAGGCCAGAACTTGCATTGACTCAGACAGTACATGTCCCACCCTGGCTTCTGAGAAGGAGAATTCAACCAGCATTGGTCGTTCCACAAGACTCACAAGAACAGAGCAAAGTAGGAACTAGTTAAGCAGAAAACAGCAAACCTCCCCGGAGTTTATAGTATGTGAGTCTAGGAGAGCAGATATTCCAGAGCCGATGTGGCCTACACATCTTCTTTTAGACAGATGAAAATCCGCATTCTTCCAGCTAAAAATATTTCCATATTCTTTGTGAGGAGTTTCCATGGAGAGGCGAGGTTCGTGGGAGAGAAGGGAGAAGGCAACTCAAGCTGTTTCTCTTTGGGAGCACCTACCTCCTCCTGCCAGTCTAGTCCTGTCCTTCCCCCGGTCCACATGTCATTCCTTACCCTTGTGGCTTCTGAACTTTTTCTCTTCTCTTTGCCTATTGCTTATGTTCCCTTCTCTAAAAGTGACTCTATCGAGAGGGAGATTAGTCAAGTGGGCTGGTTTGAGGATCCTCATAATCATAAACCTGGAAAAGAAAATGTCAGACACTTTAATAGTTCAAGATGTAAAACGTGGAGGACAAAGCAAACTGCAGGCTTTCTCATTGCCCACGGACTAACGGACCCGGCAAGGAAAGAACATGCTGAAGGCTAGCACTTTACAGCAACTGCCGTTGTTGTTCAGTCGTTAGGTTGTGTCCAACTCTTTGTGACACCATGGACTGTCCAGGCGCCTCTGTCCTTCCCTATCTCTCACAACTTGCTGAAATTCACGTCTATTGAGTCAGTGGTGCTATCCAACCATCTCATCCTCTGTTGCCCTCTTCTTCTGCCCTCGATCTTTCCCAGCATCAGGGTCTTTTCCAGTGAATTGACTCTTCACATCAGGTGGTCAAAGTATTGGAGCTTCAGCTTCAGCATCAATCCTTCCAAAGGAAATCAGGGTTGATTTCCTTTAGAATTGACTGGTTCTATCTCCTTGCAATCAAAAGGAACCTTGAGAGTCTTCTCTAGCATCACAATTCAAAAGCATCAGTTCTTTGGTGCTCAGCCTCCTTTATAGTCCAACTCTCACATCTGTGCTTGACTACTGGAAAAACCATAGCTTTGCCTATATGGACCTTTGTTGGCAAAGTGATGTCTGCTTTAGAATACACTGTCTAGGTTTGTCATAGCTTTCCTTCCAAGGAGCCAGCATCTTTTAATTTCGTGACTGCAGTCACCATCCACAGTGATTTTGGAGCCCAAGAAAACAAAATCTGCTACTGTTTCCATTTTTCCCCTTATATTTGCCATGAAGTGATGGGACTGGA